GGATGAACATGGTGTAAACTCTGTTTTATACCATACTAAAAAATTAATACCAGATAAACTGGAAATCTAAATGTAAAAAGAAAATAATAAAAAAAATTAGGGGAAAAGACTAGTGTCATGATCATTAGTTATAAGAGGATATCTTAAATAGGACATAAAATGAAAAAGAATGTAAACCAGATTATAATAAAATTAAAACCTACTCACCAAAATTAGACCAAACCAAAGCAACCACTGTTAAAAATAAAAAAGAAGGGCTGGCGAGATAGCTCAGTGGACTAAAGCACCTGCTTAGGCAAGCTTAGGCAAGCGCAGGGACAGAAGTTCAATCCCCAGCACCACTTGCCATGCCAGCCCCGCCTGCGTAGGGCAGGATGAGCCAGCCAGAGTCTGGGCATGGTGGTGCACACCTGTTATCCCAGTGTGGGGAGGCTGAAAGCAGGAGGATCACTATGAGTCTGAGATGCCTAGTGAGACCCTGAAACAACCACATACATTAAAAAAATAAAACGAAACAAAGAACCCACATAATGAAAGAAGATACTCACAATACAAGTATCTGGCAAAGGAATGGAATATTCAAATAATGACCACAAGTCTCAAAGGAGAAAACAATCATTTGAATAAATCATCTGAATAAATTTTACTTCTAAGAGGTAATACTGAAACAGTACATAAAATATGAAGACATTCAACTGCATTATCAGGGAAAGTTACCTGGGAAATGGCAAATTTAAGCCAATGTATAACGACCATACCACTAAGATTTAAAAAAAAAAATGGCAAAGATGCGAAGCAATGAAACTTTCCACACGATTCTAGTGACAGTGTAAACTGACTGATATGATCACTTTGAGAACTGTTGGGCATTATCTGTAAAAACAGACATCCTTACCACCCAGAAATTTCATTTTCTTCTAGATATTCAAGGGAAAGTCACATACATGTTCACCCAGAACAGACAGGCCTGTTTATGCCAACACTATTCATAACACCCCAACAATGGAAACTACCCAAATGTTCATTAACCTTAGAATGGATAAATAAATTATAGTATATTTATACAAAGGAACACTAGCCAATAATGAGAATGAATGAATTATATCCACAGTCAGTAACATGGAAAATTTTCAAAAACATGATGCTGGAATAAGCCAGACATAAAAATGTAATTTCGCTCATATAAAGTGCAAAAGTATGAAAAATTAATTTAAATTAGTGGAAATCAGGAGAGTATTTATCCTTGGCAATGGAAAGCAGTTAGGGGTGCTCTAAGTGAAACAAATTTATCAAATATCTTATTGCAAAAATGCATTGTAAAAGGTACCTTTGCATTTGTCAAAAAGATAATCATAGTTTTCAAGTGGAATAAATTAAAAATTTATTTGAGAATAGTTGAAACGTAAGATTATTATGAAAGACATCCATTCAGTTCTGGTTGCCAGTATTTCTCAAAGCTTTCAATAAATGCTTGATTAATTTTACAAAACTTATCATTCTTTCTGATGCCTTAATGTCAATGTTGTCATTTACACATGCCATTAATAAGACACTTAAACTAAGAATATTACCTTAAGGTAAATTGAACATGGGCTGATCAAAAAGTAAGGTGTGTATACAAATTTAAAAAATATAGTATAAGACACATTGTCATTGATCAATCTCAAAACACTTCCCCTTGCTTTAAACACTCTTATCCTATCGTTCTTGCCACTCTCTGAAGCAATTCCATAGAAGTACTCTTTCCTGAGTACCTTTACAAGGTGTGATAAAAATGATAGTGAATGAAATGCCCAGAGTCATTCAATGGAAAGACGGGCTTGTAAGAACATTATGATTTGCTCTTATCCACCCTGTCCATTGGCCATCTGGGTCTTCCTCTAAGTCAAAATGACCATGAAAGGAAAATGTCTGAATGGATTCAAGACATTGAGGAAGCTATGATTGAGAGTATAAAGAAAGACAAGAAAGAAGACTTTCAGGAATGATGGGATAAGCATGTTAGAAATGAGGGGAACATTTTGAGTAAGACCAGTGGCCACGTGTTTTTTTTTTTACTATATTAACATTTTAAAAATTGAAACAATCAACATATTTGTCAATCAATCATTCCATGGACCTTTTCTATCAGCCTTTTATCTCACCAGGCCAACTGTGAATACCTGAGTGTTCTTTCTCAAAAGTCCAGCAACTGTAATCCTACACACAACTCTACTTAGAATATTTGTATATAGCATTGAACTAAGGATTCAATGAGATAATACATGTCAGATACATCATTCATGAGCACAGAGACTGTTTAGCAGAAGCCAGCATGTGTTTTAATGCTCTTAATTTATTATTAGTAGCACTCGCATCTGAATTACCTGACATGCTCATTAAATCATGAGGGATTTGTGGACTCCACCTCAAACTTACTGAAGCTGAAGAACTCACTGGACACAGAACTCTGTATGCTAACTAGCACTTCTAGGGATTCTTTTTGCATACTTAAATTTAAGACCTTCTACTGGAGATGGGTTGTCTTCGTATTTATTCCTCAGCTTGCACACAAGGGTCTACATACAAGTGTTGACTGGCTGATTAACGCACTATAGTGCCAGGCTAAAAGATTGAAGGAGTCTGGAATGTATTACAGCTTTGTGCAGCAGAACATAACGACACATTTTTATATCTCCCAGCAAAGTGTGAAGGTAGTGTTGTTTAGTTAGTAGTAACAAAAGTAAATTCAGCTTTGATCATTTAAACTCTTTTTTGTCACATGAAGATATTTGAGTCCTTTCATATAACCTATTTCACATAACCTATTTTCTTCCTTCAAATAATTCCATACACTTGGGATTTTATTGCTTCCTTTTTTACTTAAAGGATCCAGAAAGCCTAGACATGTTCTCATTGAGAGAATAAATAACCATATTCTGTGGGCTCCACAGTATTAATATTAAGCTTGGACCTAGGTTTCAATAACCACTTTCTTTCTTACATCTGTGTTCATTTAAAGGAAAGTTCCAGCAATTTGTCTAAAAGGGGAACTACAAGTGAAATGTCTTCAGTTGTTTAATTCAAATAGAAATTTAAATCAAATCACAGTAGTTATTTGAATTTTTTGTCTATAAAACAGTTGTGCAAGTTGCTATACTGAGAAGAAAATTTTAATATGAAACCTTCTCATTAACTGTTTGATCACATGGAAAGCACAGAAAACTCAACTTTCGACCAAAGACAAAGCATTTAATTTTGTTTCATCTTACTAAGTAATATAAAGATTAAAAGATAGAAACTAGACATTAAATCAGCACAACATGTTTCAAATTTTCTTGTTTGGTGAACACATTTGTTTAACCATATATTGTAAGGGTCAGTCAGATAGCTCAACCCCAGGCCTGTCATGCTGGCCCCACCCCACCCCTTCCGGGGCTCACTGAGATAGCAATTGAGACTGGGCGTGGTGGCGCACGCCTATAATCCCAGCTCTTGGGAGGCTGTAAACAGGTGGATCACTACAAGTCTGATTTAGTAATGAGACCCTGTAGACCCTGTAGACCTTCCCTGAAATACAATACAATAAAATAAAAAATAAACATACATTGTACCATGAAAAATAAATTCCCATCATTCAGTTGCAAGATTCAACTACAGCTGGCTATGTGTGCAAATCTTATTTCTATAAATCAGTCGAAGCGGTCTAGTGATGCTTTATGACACATCTGTTTTATGAGCCAAATATAAATATGGTAGGGATTAGGCCTGAAGAACTTGACCTCCTGGCCACCAGATGGACTTTTTATTGTTCAGTCAATAATCTGCTCTTTTATATTCAAATCCTCTTGACTTTAAGGTGGCACAACTAACCTTCAAGATGGGTCTCAAGTATAGTGAGACCACTCTTCTTCCTCTCCCTCCCCCATGGGGTACTTTTTTTCTTTTTTCTTTTTTTTTTCTTTTTTTGCAGGGCTGCTAAATTTTGAGTTTGCTAGCAGTGGAAAGTATGCTGTAAGCAAAAGTCTCAGCAAGACAGAGATTCCTACAAAATACTGTAGTCTTTACTTTTCCGAAGGAGGCTGGCTGTTCTGATGAGGTCCAATTCCAAGAACAACTTCACCGAAGCAAAGGATCCCTGTCCTGCTACTGAAATTGAGGCAAGATACAGTGACTGAAGCTTCTCTTCTACCTCTGTCTAGGAGTAACTTGACCCCTGGCTTCCTGCTGTATCCTCCATCCAGACTGAATTTGGACACTGAAGTGAGTTACAGTTGCCTACATTCTGATAGGGATAGTGTAAAAATATGAACATGTGTGAAACACTTCAATAGAAGATTTAGCTATTTAGGATAGTGATGACAATATTAAAAACACTTCCTTTAAGCACCCAGATAATCTGAGTTGTGTCAGAACATTTCCAGACAGGAGGGGAGCAGTAAACTTCAGATGAAATCTAACCCCTGCCCAGCACTACCACTGAATTTCCCTGCATTTTGAGAACTGTCTCGCTAATTAAGTCTGCCCTCATTCATGATACCATAAGTGAAAACTGTCTACGAAAGACCCAAGCAGTGTGCCACATACGATTACATTTTACATTACCTTCCAACTGTGTTTAAGGTCCCTTTCTCTTTGAGATGTCCCCATGGCTTTGATCATCCAGTTCTAAACTTAAGAACCACCCAAGAGCTGCCGAAAAGCCACACCTAAAAAAAAATCTGTGTTCAGGAGCCAGAATAGATCTGGAATAGCCTTCTGGAGCTCTCTGGTTGGTGGATGAATGTTAGTTAACAGATCTGGATTGCATTCAAAAGCTCACAGCTGGCTCGGAGCACAAAACAAAATTAGATGAGTATAAACTACATTGTCAAGTCACTAAGAAGCCACTGTTTTTAATACCCCAGCTCCATACACCATTCATTCATTCACCGTATTTTCTTTTAATCCCTTAAAACAGGCGCTGGATTGTAATTAAAAGATTTCTTCAAGGCATCAATATAAGAAGCAACAACTCTTACCTTCCAGTAATAAACTGACTCCTGGATGGTGTGCAAATGGGCTGGACGTAGTAGTTCTCCAGTTTAACTCCTTGGGCGGCCAGTTTGTCCAGTGTGGGCGTCCTTATCTCAGATCCATGGTAGCCCACATCTCTAAATCCCTGGTCATCCGCGAGGATGAAGATGAGGTGCGGCTGTGCGGGCCCGGGTCTCTCCGCAGCTTGAGCTCTCCGGGTCCCTTCCTCTTCCTTCTCTAAGCCCTGGCCCCAGGACAGGTACGCGTAAGCGAGGAGGCTCAGGACCCAGCAGCCAGCCAGGGCGCCCATAGCTACCGCTCTCGAAGGTCGGGCAGCGGCCCGCGCAGGGGGAGGGGGCGAGGGCTGGGGTGCCCCCCCGGCGGCCATGCGCGCGGTGTTTTCGAGGCCCGGCGGCCGAGCCCGCGCCCTGCTCCCCGCACATGCACGCGGAGGGCGGCCCGGGCGAGGCTGAGCCCCGGAGAGCGAGCGAGGCCGGGCGTCACCGGGGCCAGGACCGCGGCTTCCAGCCGGACGCGAGGCGGCTCCGAGCCGCCGACCCCTCGGCGCCCTTCCCGCTCCCGAGAGCGGCGGCCTCGTGCCCACAGAAAGTGAGTCTGCACCTGAAACTTCTTCAAAGAACTCGGAAGCAAGTGCAGGTCGCGCCGACTGTCCCGGGCGGGAGCTGCGGTGGCCTCCGCGAGGGGACCCGGACGTCCCGGGCTTGGCGGCTCCGCTGATCCGCCGGGTCCCCTCCTCCGCGCTTCCAGGGGTCCCTTGGGGTCCGGGTGTTCCGGGCGCTCACCGAGTCCCTGCACCCTCCGACGGTGCAAAGGGCGTCTCCTATTCGCTCCCTCCCTCTGAGCACCTCGCTTCCCGGGACCTGGCGCTGGGGGTCCCGCCGGGCCGTGTGTTCACGCTGCCCGGTGCGTGCGCCCGGCGGCTGACTCAGCTCCGTCCTGCGCTTCGCGTCCGCCCCGGGAATCTCAGTCCCGCGCCCCCGGCTCCCCCAGGGAGAGGGCGGGCAGCACTCGTGCTTCTCCGGGACAGGCCGGGTTGGAGGGCGCTCTGCCTTCGCCACCCCGAAGGGAGCCTTGGTGGCAGGTCTGCAGACCCAGCGTCCTTGCCCACCCCCAAACTTTCCTTGCCGGTGGAGGGAGGAGAGGGAATGGAGGGAGCGCAGGCGCGGGGGGAAATCGCGTAGCAACTTTCACCTTCCTCTTGTTCTGCCAGCAGCCCACCCCGTTTCCCTACCCCTTTTGTGTCCGCCTCTAATTTCCGTAGTAGTAATAGCTACAACTTTTAAAGTTGAATCACTTTCCCCAGTACCTGACCTGTACAGCCTGGCTTCCTCATTAGCTTTTTCCTAAGAAAAGTATTAAAATCGCTACCCCTGTGCACCTCTCTCCAGACTGACCCACAGTCTCCACGTCAAGAACTAGGAGAGAAGAGTCCTACTTCGCCCTCAAAACTTGGGCGTTGCTGCGAGGAAGAAACCCTCACTTCCTAGCCAGTGATTTCAGGAACCTCATCTTTTCTCATTTATCTTCCCCCTACTCCTTTCATTTTTCTTTCTTTCTTTCCTTCCTTCCTTCCTTCCTTCCTTCCTTCCTTCCTTCCTTCCTTCCTTCCATCCTTCCTTCCTCCTCCCTTCTGCCTTTCCTCCTGCCTCTCCCTCTTTCCTCTCTTCCTTTTCTTTTTTCCCTCCTTTTCTTTCCTGTCCGTTTTCCCGCTTCTCCTAAAATCAAGCTAAAGCTTGTTGACTGAGAAGATCCGCCTGTTTAGCCTAGAATCCTAGTTAGTTTTAAAGCACTGCTGAAGAGCAAGAGGGGGACTTATGGCATCTCTAGAAGAGTCGCTGAGACAGTTGTTCTTCCCTCCAGAGTTTTCAAGTTATTTATCAAACACCTACCAGGAGCTGCCACATAACATGCCAGACTCTTTCAGTGAGCTGAAGCATAAATCTAGGTTTCATTGAGTCATGTTTAATCTCTCCCATTGCTAAAGTGCCTGTTGAGCCTCTAGGAAAACTTTATACAGTGGAAGGTTCACTTTGGAAGACAGGACCATTCTCTGAAGGATTTGCTTTGCTAACACGTGACCTTTCTGCTCTCTGCATTTTCCCAAAGAGTTCTGGTTGGGAGACTGGTGAGTTTTAGACATATTTAGCAATGTGAGTTTGTCGATTTTGTCAGTTTAAACTTCTAAATATAGGAGGAGAGCAATGGCCAGGCTTGACCCCAGGGACATGCTTGAGTAGAAAATGTAACTCTGATCAGTCCGGCTGCGTTTAGTTGGGAAAAGGTCAGTGAGTGTCCTAGCATGGTATATGTACTCACTGATGCTCAAGAAAGACTTTTATCAGACCCAGTTTGATCCCTGGTACTACATGCAGAGTTGTCCCCAGAACCCTGGGCGCAGTGGGACACACCTATAATCCCAGAGATGGGGAGGCTGAGACAGGAGAATTGCTGAGTCTGAGCTGCATAGCGAGACCTGTACTAGTAAATAAATAAATTTTTAAAAAGAGACTTTTTCAACTTAGATTTCAAGTAAGGGTTAAAAAAGTCGACATTTATAGAGTATTTACTGGGCACTAACCAAGGTATCCAGTGCACACTCATACACACCCACTCATGTATATATATTTTACAGTATTTATAGAATACTTTATATATTCATTTCCTTTCCCTCTCCACCAACCTTATAGTTATTCTTATATTCTCCAATATTTAAGGAGCAGAGTCAATGGTAATGCTGACAACAATGCTAAACTATACCAGACCCACCCTCCGCTCTGGAAAAACCCACCCAGTGGTGAGGAGAAATATGCTGGTCACCCAGCAACCCCAGTGCATCCTGTAAAATGCGTGTTTTGGAGACAGAGAACACAGTTCAAATACATTTTAAAACAAGGGTCTTGATTTAGGCTGGTTGCTGTGAGTGCATGTGGTAGGTCAGGGAAACAGCCTCTAAGCTGAGGGGATAGTCTTTATGCTTGCTATCTTTTTTTTGGGGGGTGGGGTACTGAGGATTGAACTCAGGACCTTGCACTTGCCAAGCAAGTGCTTATTCTACTGAGCTATCTCTCTGGCTCGTTTGCTAAAAATTTAGATCTAGAAATTTATATGAATTCAAGGCTCCGGTTTTTTCAAAAGACATTCTTCCTGCAAATGTGCTTGAAAATCTTTTCCATCCATAAAGCTCAGAGCAAACACAGCTGGCTATTAGGATCCTCTCCCACAGGAGGCTGTGGCTCCTCCATGCTGAGGACAGGAGAGCAGAACTCTGGACTAAGAAGCTCTTTCTGAAGTAAACAAGACCTGCATAAGTGGAGTCCAACAACTATTTTAGCTTTAATAATGATACAGAGTATGAACTACAAGGCTGTTGAGAGTCTTGTGTTATACTGCATGTGTGTTGGGATTTTAAGTACGTTGTTTCATTTTTCATTGTAGCACTGACATTCATGCATGCTAGATGAGAGTGTCACTGTCTTCATCACGTCTCAATTAAAGAGCCTCTAGAGTTTAAAAGTTACACAAATCAGCATTTTGGTACACAGGTATCAGCTGCTTCTGCAGAATCTCATCTTAGGTTTACTTGAGCTCAGATTGTTCACATTACCAGCAAATTCTAGTTTGGAATGGTAATACAAAAATTAAAGAAAATATTTGATCCAGGAAAAAAAGAAAAGAAGGAAAATAGAATTGCCTAGAGATGAAATTAGTGTGTGCCAGGTCTTTAGTGAGGCTTAATTGGAAGGTGAGACTGAATGTTTACTCATCAAAATATAATTGTCATTTGGAAAGAAGTCTGAGGATGGACGCTTCAGGTAAAAGAAAAACGACCAGCAGAAGACACGTGTAGGCTGGAGGAGTATGGGGAAAATGTTAGGATGTTTGGGAAAAATCAGATATTGAAGGGATTTGCAAAGGCCAGGAGACCTGGAACTTGATCTCTGGTAGGAGAAAACATGCTACATTCCACCAGTGAGTGTCCTTTCAGAGTTTGATAGGGACACATGTGACAAATGGGCTGCTCAACCCATTGAGGTGTAAAGTTGTCATTTACTCAGAAAGGACTGAATCTAATAAAGTTTTGACATTCAAACAAGACATAATCAATATATAAAATGAGAAATCCCTGGGCATTTTAGAGATTTGGGGAAGAATAGAATCACACAATTACCTACGTCTGAAATTTGTATAGCAATATATGCTTCAAGTTAAAAGGTCTGCACATTATTGTGTTACCTGATTGGAAAAGGTCATGTAAGAAAAGCTTAAAAACAATTAATTAATCAACTAAGAGGAAGAAAAAGACTCAACGAATAAGGGTCTAAAGCAGACCTCGTTTGATTGGATAATAAAAAAATAGAGTAGAGTGACTTGGGGGAGTAGTTACCACCAGAAAGCAATGATCCCAGTAAATCCCCTTGTAGTAGACTGAGGATACCCTGGCATCAGAGCTAGGGTGTCCAGTGGAAGAGAGTTACAAAGTGTGAGAAGCCCACCAGCAAGCAGAAAAACTGAGAAAATGCTACACAAGTAATAAAATGATTAGTTGAACAATACTTCTTTGAGACATCTGCGTGAAATCCTACCATACATGACATTTCTTGAAGCCCAGTAGTACCCATGGATAGAATTGCCTTAACTTATGAACTGCACACCTGAAACTTAATAAGACATCATATGTGCTATACTATTACCCTTTTATTTTCAACTAAACAGATACTTTGTTGTTCAAATGAGAGAACAGATTTATAAATGTAGGGTTGAAAAAAAAAACAGTTCACTGATTCACAGATACTAAAAAGATTTTAACCTTAATTGCTGCTTGGCTTTGTAAGTACATTAAATACTTTAAAAATTAAAGAGTGTTACCACTCATAATTCACATGTATCTAAAATGAATGTTTGCTCTTATATGTGTTGTGTCATAGACTTCATGTGATAAACTATTGCACTGTGGAAATATTCTGCTACCTTGAGCTATGAAATAATTGTAAGCAATATGAGCTTTCTGGTTCAGACCAAGAAGGACGATTTAGTATAACTTCCTATTTGGGGGGAGGTTTGCTGCATACAACCTGTAATAATTTGTAAAAAAAAATGATAAGGGAGACACTACAGTTTGTCTCCTATATATGGAAGCACCCAAAAAGTTTTTTTAAAATTAGCAACTTGGAAACTCTGAACTGTCAAAGGAAATGCCTTTCTCTCAACAAACATCTTTATGTCAGAGCTAACTTTTAAACAAAAATTTTATATTGAGAAAATTAATAATCTGTTAATTTGATAATCTGTTCCCACTGCTTAAATTATAAATGAAATCCTGTATTAGTTAAACAGCAATTTTCAGTTTAGAAATCAATTTCTAACCTAACTGCCCATCAGAATCGCTCAGGGATTTCTATTTTAATGAAAGCGCTAGCTCCACTCAAGATCTCAAGCAAAATGTCCATACTCCAGAATTACATTGTACCAAAAAACTCTTCAGATGATTCTGTGTGTAATGAAGTGTAAACAGTATATTAAAGGGCTGACAAGATAGCTTATCAGACTAAATGGCTGCTTAGGCAAGTACAGGGACCAGGGTTCAATCCAGGCCCCACCCCTAGGTGTACTTAGCCAGGCACCGAGTCCTGGCATGGTGGCACATATGTAATCCCAATGCTGGGGGGGGGGTGCTGAAAACAGAAGATCACTCTGAGTCTGAGCTACGTAGTAAGACCCTGTACCAAATACATTTTTTAAAAAGTATATTGAATGATTTAAAAGCTAAAACATCAAAAACATTTATTCAGTGGGGCTAATTAATGAATAGGGTTGGTGCCATTCACCAAATAAGTAATGCAAAATATGACTATCTAAGGGGTTCAGTCATAAAACCAATAGAAGTTGGTGATTCAGAATAATATAGAACAATATAGTAAATAAGATAGAACAATATAGTAAGCATTTCTGGAAAACAAAAGGATTAATTCTAGAGTTAGTTTGGCTTAGTAAGGGCTCATGAGTGGCACATTATTCCCCCTAGATGTTTGTAAATTGAAAATATGATCATTTCACCAGATCCAAGAGCGAAGGAAGAG